CTGCTCGGGGGGACCCCCCGCTTCCAGTCCTGGTATTTCTGCCTCGGGAAAGCCTGCTCTCAGGACGGGGTGGGCAGAAGTTGACCACGCTGAGGGTGAAAGGCCAGCTGGGGGCCCACAATCCAACAAAGGGATCTAGAGCCTCAGCTCAAGCCCCCAGGCCTTGCGAGCCAGGTGGGGAAGTGCGGCTTTCACGGGCACTTGTCGGGGAGCCTGGGCTCTGCCCGAGGAACACTGGGGTCTCCCTCCTGCCCTGGGCAGCGAGTCCTCTGGCTGAGGCCTCCCTCCACTCCAGGGTGGGGAGCTGTGGAGGGCCAGCGCGGCCTGGAGTGAGCCCCCTCGGTAAGCTGGCTCTACGCCCGCCGCCCCTGCCCTCTTCTGCACTGCCTCTGTACTGTGGCACTCGGTGGATCCGAGCCCCCTGCACCCACTGTTCCTGGGGGTTCTGGGCTGGCAAAGCTCAAGGTCAGCCAGGAGGCAGAGTGTGGGGTTGAAGGGCAGCTGCCCCTCCGTGACTGCACGGCCTGGGACCAGGTGCTTGAAGCTGTCTCTAGCCCCTCCCTATAAGAAGGGTAACAATGGCAACCCAGGGAGAAGAGACGGGTGCCCTGGGAGCCTGGTCTTCTCCCGGGTGACCCGGGGGCCCGTGGTGCGGGGCCGGTGCACTGCCTGGCCCAGAGTCAGTACCCGGGGTGGCCGGGTGCCAGAACTTGGAACCCAAACGTCTGCCACTCTCAGTGATCCAGGAGCCCCCAGGCTTTGGGGTCCCCCCAAAAGCCCCAGGGTCCCTGTATTTGCACAGCAGCACTCAGGGGCCTGCAGGCCTGTGTGTGAGCTGCGGGGTGGTCCAGGGAGCAGTGCCCGCTGCCTCTGGCCCCGCGAGCTGGTCTCAACAGACACGCAGCCCCGAATGAATGGCGGTGGCAGACACACAGGACACACCCCCTGCTTCACTTGAGCGTGGAAAACATTCATTAAGCATTTTAGAGGACAAGGGCAAAAAGAAAAACACTCGTTAGAAGCAGAAATCGTTTCCAAACGAGCCATACAGAATCTGCTGGCAAGTCTGGCCTGACGTGGGGGCTTGTCCTCCTGGGGGAGCGGGCAGTGGGAGGGATGCACAGAAGGAGGGACTGTGGGGCCCCAGAGGGGTCACAGAGGGAGGCAGGAAGGCCCGAGCCAAAGCACTAGAAAATCCCAAGAGGAGAGGCCACGGCGGCAGAGACGGAGGCCGAGGAGCCTGACTGTCTGGCCCAGCGTCGGAGCAGCCCAGCCTGCAGGAGGGGCTGCACCCCCAGGGCCCCAGCAAGGCTCAGGGCCTGGGAGGATGCAGTGATAACCATGTTCAAGGCCCCGGGAGGCAGAGGCGAGAAGGAGCCTGATCCCAGCCCGGCTCCTTCGCTGACCGGCTGGGTGACCCTGGGCCTGACCCTGCCCTCTCTGGGCCTCAGCGTCTATCAAGGAAATGGAGCAGCGGAGCGTGGGACAGCCTATAAGGGCCCTGCCAGCCGTGACACATGGAGCCCTCAGCGGGGCTGCTGATGTGAGGAGAGGAGCAGCGGGGGCTTCTCAAGGCCCCAGGGCCAATTCCCCGAAGGCCCCGTAGAAGCAGCCTGAGCTCAGGTCCTCCGGGGTCTCGAGATGCTGCCCGTGCAGGTGACCACATGGTGCCCACGGGGCACGGCAATGACCTTAGTTGCCATGGGCTGAACGGGCTTCAGTCCCTCCACTCTAGGGGAAGGCTCTGGTTCCTCAGTGTCTGCCGGCTCACATCCGGATAAAATATTTATTAGCGAGATAGAGAGAGAAAGAGAGAGGGAGGTGGCACCCACCCGCACAGTCAGGTCACTCGGAAGCTAAGTGCGCTGGCCCTCCCCTGTCCTGTGCAGCAGGGGCGGGGCGGGGGGTGGCGGCCCCTCCAGATCTGGCTGAGGCTCTGTGCTGGGCCCTCAGGGGAGACGGAGGGAGGCAGGTGGCTCCCTTGGGAAGCTTACAGTCTGGTTGGAGAGGAAAGCCAGGTCTGTGTGGGTAGGGTCCCTGCTGTGCTAAGTGGCCTTGGGATTACAGAGGAAGGAGAGGCCGCTCTGATGGGACGGCAGTGGCTGGACGGGAGGGGCTGCTCCCAGAAGAAACTCTCCTTTATCCAGAAGCCCTCCCTCCCTCCCTCCCTCTCCTCCTCCCAGCCCCCTTCCTTTCAGGGGGCTACCCCTGTCCCCGCCAGCCCACTAGCCTGGGGGAGTGGGGTGCGAGGGGCGTGGCCACCCAGTGCGCCCTTGGTCAGCAGCATGTCATGCTTAGGGGACACGCCAGCTTCTTTGTTGCCTAGTTGGCCCCTGAGTTGCCTCTTCCTCGGCTCTCACCCCGTCACAGTGCCCTGACACTTCCACTCCCACCCCAAGCCTTTTTCTTGGTAATTGGTGTCAGAGACAAACTTGGGCCAATTTCCACCTGGGACAGCATCTCATGGCTTCTTGCCTATTTAATATCAGAGAAATTAAACCTGGCCACACCGTCTTATCCCGGTCTTGTAATTAGCATCAGAACAAATTGCCCAGAGCAGGGGGCTGGCCCTGGAGCTCCAGGCTTCCGGGGGCGGGACTTGCGATGCGCTAATTGCCTTGGCTTTTCTCCTTAACCTCCTCCTGCCCAGAGCTGACCCGGAAGCAGGAGACCCCCGCCCGTGTACCTTCCCGCTTTGTCACCTGCTCACAGAAACTCGGGGACGCGGAGGCGGGGTTGGAGAGACAACTCCCCAGGGACCCGGAGAGAAGATAAAGATTCAGATTAGCCCTGGAGAAACCAGATCTGTGATCCCGGCCTTTGGGGAGACTCGGGTTCCCCACCAGCTGGAAGGTAACAAACCCAGACGCACACGAGTCACCCCAGGTATGTCTCCAGCATGCAGTGGCCAGGATCGGAGCACCAGGGAGGGGAGGGCTGGGGCAGAGGAGCAGCGGCCCCCACTCCTTGTGTGGCCCCAGAAACAAGGCAAGGGCAGCCCAGGCTAAGAGGGACTTGGCTCAAGGGGCCTGAGTGAGTGGAATCCAGTTTGGGGAGCAATCGGCCCAGACTCCAAGGCGGCCCGGTGGCGTCTGAGTCAGGGGAAGGAGATCTACTGAAAGCCACAGGTGCCTGAGGGGATGGAGGCGTGGGGGTGGGAGAGAGGTCTGGAGGAGAGAGAGGAAGCAGCCTCGGAGAGCCGACAGCTGGGGCTGCTGGAGGGGCGAGCTGGCAGGAAGCTGGCCGCGGGGGTGAGGCTCCCTCGGGAGGGCAGCAGCCAGGCGGGGCAGAGAGAGCAGAGCGAAGAGGTGTTCTGATGGGGCCTGAAAGCCGAAAACACCAGCGTGGGACCTGAGGGGGTGGAGGTCCGGGAAGGAAGGAGCTCACGAGGGCTGCTGGAGACGAAAGTGTTTCTCTGGCAACACGGAGGTGAGAAAAAGGGACGAAGGAGGACGGTTGTGTCCTGGAGACACAGGGACATGTTCTAACTGCACCAGATCTCTGCTGTCAAGGAGGAGCCCACTCCCACCTCCTGCAGCCACGGAGAAGACCCTTGACCGAATGGCAAAATGCCTTGGGTCCATTCTTATTAACAAGACCTGGAAAGTAGCATCCCAGGATTACACTGAAGGTCCCTTTCACAAGGACGCAGGGCTGAGCAAGTAGAAAGGCAGGTGTTACCACGCCAACCTCCGAGGGGGACAGACCCGGGAGACTATAACGGGCAAGGTGTTGGGGAAGCCGCGTCCGCAAGTCAGCACCTCGTCTGACGGTCTCAGGTGCCACCCGCCAATGAACTTGAACCACAGACAATTGTTTCTGGGAACTGAGGAGAACGGAAGTGTATGGTGGCGCGGGCAGGGGGTTGGTTGGGGGAGGTGAGGGCGAGTTGATGGACAGAGGGCCTGGTCTAGGTGTGGACACTGCGGCAGCCCTGTGCCCAGCAGACACCTTCCAGGCCACCTTCCCTGGGACCAGCGGCCCTTCTGCACTCCATGGCATGTGCAGCTCTCTCCTCTCAGAACACGTGCCATGAGCATTGGCGGGGGGCTTGCTTTCCCAACTGCTGGACCCCTCCCAACCACGTCCCCCAGGTCAGGGAGATCCCCAGACCCCTGAGGCCCAGGCTAACTTGGAGGCAGAAAGCGAGACCTCTGGGGGGAAAGGCCAGAGGCAGCAATTCCTGGGCAGAGGCAGTAGGAAGAAGTTGGGGTGATGCTGCCGGGGCCCCCCGGGGATGTGTTCTACAGAGAGCAGCTGCAAATCAGAGGTCAAGCTTTGGAAAGGACCCAGGTCCAGGCTCGCTGGGCAGACCCCTCAGACCTTCCCACTCACAGCAACACCTTCCACAAGCAAGACGACCACCAACACAACCAGTCGGCTGTTGGCTGGGCAGCCTCAGGGCTGTGCTCCAGCGCCATGGACAGAGATCTGGGAGCCAGGCCTCCCTTGGAGCTTTGGCGACTGGGTGGCTCCTCCACCCCTTTCTCCATCCTGCTCCACAGCAGACATCACAAATCGATTACAGAGCTCCTTCCCTCTGAGCCAGGAGCTCCTGGTCTCCCGACAGCCATCCCGATCTATCCAACTACAACTGGCACGACTCTGGGAGCTGATTCTCCACGTGTGCTGACGATTAACCCACATGCGGTTTTCAGTGCAAAGGCTTTTCGCAGTCAGGGGCAGGCTGCCCACCCAGGCTTTTTCCTGTCCTCAATCAGAGGAAACTGAGGCACCCTGGAAGCAGCTGGCAGGATGTTATCCTCATGCGGCGGGCAAGGACGCCCCCCACCAGGCTTCCTCCCCTTGCTGGCATCTGACATCACACCGGGCCGGCCCTGAAGGTGGCCTCAGCGCCACACGCTGACATCCCTAGGAAAGCTGGCCAGGGTGCCAGGGCCTGGGACCGCCGCACGCAGGAGCCCCACCCCACTCAGCTCCCTCCGCAGACCCTTCCCCAGCACCGGAGACGGAAGAAGAATCCAGTCCCAGCCACCTACCTGAAGGAGCCAGTAGCACCTCCGGTGGAAGGTGGGGATGATGGAGGAATGGACATAGCAGCCGTACAAGCACTAGGGAGAGAGGAAAAACGAGAATTCAGTTGGAAAGAGGGAAGGAAGGGAGGAAGACGGCACAACAGAGAAGGGGCAAGAGAGGGCCGCGGACGCTGCCACCACCCCAGGGAGACCGAGGCGCGGGCGCCTCCACATCCGGCTCCAGGACCAAGGCTAAGGTCTGGGACACACCTAGGAAGCACAGCTGGGAAACACCAGTGGGCAAACACGGATGGACAGCTGGGGTGCTCAACCTTGTGAGGGCCATGGAGGCACGTGGGAGCCCGGAAAAGCCAGGGGCCACAGGAATGCACATATGTATACATTTTGCCTATCATTTGAGGGGCTGGGGTTTACCCTGACGTTCATGCATAGAGCCTGGGTTAAGACCCCTTGGTGTATGGGGAGGGACGGAATTGATTCAAGCACACACACACTCCAGACCTTTCCCAGCCAAGGAGGGCCGTCCCTGGCAGCCCTGTCTGGTAGGAGCTCCAAGGCTGGGGGGCCAGGGAGGGGCAGCACTTCCTAGGACTGACTTCCAGAGCTTGGGACCCTTTGTGCACACCCCGACTTGCTGGTTTTTATTTACAGTTTTCTAGTCACATTTGTGTTTGTTCCAATTATAAACCTGCATCTTTTACGGATGGATTTAGTTTTAGAAACCTGCTAGAGCCAGATTGGAGAAGAAGGTGGGTGAGGATTTAAGTTCAGGAACAGCACGTAGAGGGGACATGAGGAGGGACAGCTCTCATGCAGCTTGTCACTTAGATCCAGGAGAGTGGAGCCGACTGGTGGGACAAGTCAGGGGAGCACACCGTGCGCTGGGCACCGCGGGGGCTTGCCTGCTGGCAGGGGCAAGAAAGAGGGACTAAGGAGAGCAGTTGTGTCCTTCCTGAAGCTGAACGCTCAGAGACTGAGTGGGAGGAAATGTGGCCTTTTCTTTTTTTTTTTTTTTTTGCGGTACGCGGGCCTCTCACTGCTGTGGCCTCTCCCGTTGCGGAGCACAGGCTCCGGACGCGCAGGCTCAGCGGCCATGGCTCACGGGCCCAGCCGCTGCGCAGCATGTGGGATCTTCCCAGACCGGGGCACGAACCCGTGTCCCCTGCATCGGCAGGCGGACCCTCAACCACTGCGCCACCAGGGAAGCCCTTGGCCTTTTCTTTTTGAGCCTCCAATTCCAAACTAGAATGAGCTCCTTCTATTTTCCTTGGAGTTCCCCTAGCTTCCCAAAGCACACGTTCCAGAAGGGGTGGGGCAGAAAGAGAAGGCAGGACCACTGAGCCTCAGAGGATGAAGGATGCGCAAGGTCTTCCCTTCCCCTTTCACTATAGTCCCCCAAAACCGACACCAGTTCTGCAGAGAGAAATGGCCGGCAGCTCTGCATTTGCAGTTTTCATCAGATATTTTTCACACTCCCAAAAAGACCAAGCGCAATTTGGTTTGACTAGGAGTCCATTTGAGCCTTGCCTGTCTGATTAAGAGAGTTGAGAGAGAAATCATTTTGGACTATGGGATTCTGGCTGCAAGAAAATCAGATTTCCAATATGTTAGAACTTTTACAGATTGCTGTCAGCTGGGACTTAAGCCCTGTACAGACCAAACAAACAAAGCGGAAATTAATTTAAACGACTCCCTTGCAATTCTTGCCCACGAAATGTATTTATTATTAAGAAGGCAATATTCTTTCCCGACTTTTCTGGTTTTCAATAAACTGTGTGTTTCTTTCTTTAAAAAAAAAAACAACAAAAAAACCTGATAGCTCATTCCTTCTTGCCAAAGGAGACTCGTGTTTGGACATTTTCTGTGAGCGTTTGGTTACAACGGATGAGCAACCCACCTGCAACTTCCATCAGCCCTTTTCCTTTGTAACTGGGGTGTTCTCGTGGGCAGTTGCGTTGCTTTCAGTCACGCAGTGAGCCCGATGGAGGGAGACAAACTGTTGAGAGAGGAATTCTCTCCGTCTCTTTGAAGCAAAAGGCTTCCCATCTGCTCTTCCTCACTGTTCATCCCTCTCGAGAGTTTGCCGTGAATGCCCTGCTTCACCTGTCTCTTTCCCTTTCTACTGCTTTTTCTTGAACTTGAAAAGAACACGGTTGATTTGCAGCACCATCTCCCCCTTCATTCAATGCGTATCTATCTGTGTTGGGCTGCGGCAACCTTGAACCTTGTACTAAGGAGTCACTGAGGCTTTACTGAACGCCAACCGCGTGTCCCTCCTGTGAGAGCCCAGGAAGAAAGCACAGCCCGTTCTCCCCCAAGACACCCCAGCACCCCCCTCTCAGGCACCCTCCCCACCCCAGAACCATCCAATAAACAGAATGATGTTAAAAAGAAAAATTGCTGTTTCTACATCAAGGCTCATGCATTTTAATCAGAGGAACCCTCGGGGCCTCACTCAGAACTTAGTCTATTTTTAGATATTTACTGTAAACACCCTGGCGATCTGATGTCTCTGGTCTCCACAGATGAGAGCCACAATCTTAGGAAGGTGGGAGAGAGGTACCCCTGATGAGGGTGAGCCAGGTCAAATGGCATCAAGGGAGGAAGCTCCCCAGGTAGCCCCAAGTACTCAAGAAGCCCGAGGGCCATTGGACCGTGGCCCAGCGCGCTGGTCACCCCGTGGCTCACTTGTCCATCTCTATTCCCTGGACGGGGGCTCCTGGCAGGCAGGATCTTTGAATGAAGGGGGCCCAAGTAACCTCAGGACACCGGTCTCTACAGCCTGGTACAGAGAATGATCCAGAGACAGCACATGTTTAATTTCTGCTTGTGGAACTCTGAAGGCTCAAGTCTTTCTAAAAGAAGAATAGAAAACCATCCTGAAAAATGGCTGCACGTTTAGTGCTTAAATGGTTGAGCTTCAGTTTCAGGGAAAACTGACAGGTGTTGGGTAGCTGGGTTCCCTTGTCTGGAAGGAGGCTTCTGGTGCCCAGTCTTGGTGAGCTAGAGTCAGCAAGGGAGGATTTCTGAGCGAGGGATCCTGCTTGAGGTGGGAGACCTGCCGTTCACCAGGTGGAGGGCCCCTGTCCAGTCCGGCTGCAAAACAGGCACCGTCCTTTTTCTGTCTTCTGGGTTGCTGTGAGGGTCGAGAGGTGATGCCTGTGCTGGGCTGCCCAGGACAGCAGGTGAGAGAGGGTTCAGAGGACGCTACGGGGGCTTTCAGGGGAGCACGGTTGAAAGGCAAGAGTGAAAGAGAGTATTTCCAGCTTCAGGAAATGCACGTGGGGACAGGAGGTGAGACACAGCGGGCTGGGCTTGAGGACCTGTAAGGACATTGGGATGGACTGGAGTGTCCACTGCACGGGGGCGTGGAGAGAGGCAAGCTCTGGGGACACAAAGCGGGTGAGATCACAAAAGGCCACAGGGACTGCAGCAAGGACGTTGGCTTCACCCTGGGGCGGCTGGGAACAAAGGAACATCTGCGTTCCGAAGCTCACTGTGGCAGCCGTGTGGCCAGGGACCAGGGTCGGGGAGGGCGGGGGCACCAGGTCCAGTCCTGAGTCCAGGAGGCATGCTGGGACCAGAGGCGGCAGCAGCAGAGAAGTGGAAACGTTGGCAGGGGTAAGGATGCCGCCCAGCTTCTGGCTGTGCAGACAGGTACACAGCGGTCTCACTCATGGGAAACCCTGGGGGTGCAGCAGGCTGGCCGGGAGGGGCTGATTTCAGATTTCTGAGGCGCTCGTAAGGTCCCCAAGGGGAGACACACAGAAAGCAGTAAGTTTCTGAGACCTGGTGCTGGATCTGGGCTGGCAACAGTGATCTCCACATCCTCCGTGCGGGGACGGCGTTGGAGGCACATGGAGAGACCCAGAGTGGGGTCCATCCACTCAGGCTGGTTTCTGCAGCACAGAGCCGTGCCTGCTGGCTCAGGTGGACAGAGCAGGTGAGGCCTGAACTTGCGGGTGCTCCAAGCAGCAGGCACAGGGTGTGCTGGGCTGCCTCACCGTGTGCCCACGTACCTCACAACCCCAAACCACCCATGGCCCCGTCCTGCTCCCAGGCTCTCTGGCCAGTTCCCATCGTCACCACTGCCCTCACACTGGACCGCTTCTGCCCATTTCCAGTCCTCATGACAGTGTCATCACCAAGCCAATCGGGGCTTAATTGCACACGACGCAGCGTAGCAAATCCACTCCCTTTAACCACTAATCAAGAAAGCAATCAACAAACTCCCGGTGCTTTTGGATCAGGCTCTGGGGGTCCCCTGGGGGGTCCCTGGGTTGAGCTTTGCGTTTGGGGGCCGTGATATGCTGGGAGGGAGAGTCACATCCCGCGACTGGCGGACGCAGCTGCGTGTGTGTAAGCGGGTGGGTGCACACGCGTGTGGAGGTGTGTACGGGAAGGCACAGCCTGGGCCCCTTGTTTATGTGTATCACATAAAACAAAGAAAGAAAAAGAGAAAGCAAGCAGCTGTTTATAGGAAACTCAGGAGAACGTCACCCTGTAGATGAAAGCAACGTTCAAATTAGTTCTATTGGGAAATGAAGGTCTGACATCTTCCCTTTAAGGTGACAGTGGAGCAAGGAAGATTTTTTTTCTTAAATACTCAAAATTGCTTGTATGAGTCTGTGGGGCTTTTTCGTCTTAAATAAAGAGGAAAGATAAAATTACAGGGGAAACCAATAGCAAACAAGGGCTCCCTGCAGTTCAAAACATATGCTTCAGAAAGGGACGTTTCTGAAGAAAGCGTCAGCCTCAAAGCCCCTCAGAGGGACTTTCCCCAACAGACCCAGCTGCCAGGGGTCCCCTGGGGGCCAGCAGGTCCATGAGGGCTTGATACCCAATGGTCTCGGTGGGCCAGGAAGGGAGCATCTCAGGTGGTGAGCGCAGCTTCACTGGTGGGGGGTTGGGACTGGACGGTGGGTCCCCTTTAGCTCCAGCTCTCAATGGCTCCGAGAGATGAAGCTGCTTCTCCATCTCTGTCTCTCTGTCTCTCTCTGGCATGAGCTCAGCCCTCCCATTGTCCCCTCCACTCTCGGCTTCTGCTCTAGGAAATGGCTGACCTGCTGTCCCCA